CTGTGTGGACCAAGGAGGTGAGGTTAGACATACCCTATGTAAGTCAGAACTGGCGGTCAGTTTCAGCAGCGGCTGAATCTGGATGCCAATTCCGACTTACATACAGATTCAACTTAAGAACAAACCTACAGTCCCTATCTTGTACATAACCCGGGGACTGCCTGTATTTTTAAAAGACTGTTTCTTCCCTGATCTTCCTGAAGAAGATACATGTGTTTTATTAATTTGTTTTGGCTTCCCCTTTCTACACAGTAGCTTAGAATAGATCTAATTTGTTCTGTGTCCTGTTCCAACTGGCTGCACATAATGAATTTCACAATGCCCTACCCAGAGTCTCTCTTTCCAATACCACATCATGTAGGCGACTCACTTCAAGTGTGGCAGAGAAGGAGGGCACCTGGAAGTAACTCTAACAGAATGTTATTTCATTGGTCCTCAATGCAACCTCAAGACCCTAATAGCAACCCTCTGGACTCTTCTGACAGCCCTACTATCTGGCTGCTCAAACTCTGCAGCCAAGAGTGCTTTACCCCGAGCAAACAATTTCCCCTTAGATTCACACAAATTATTTAAAGTGCATCATGCAGCTATAACCATGGGAATCTTGTCCTCAGTGAGGTCTAGCCTGCCATAGAGAAACCTCCACTTTGGCCAGGGGTACTTTCAACCACCATGTGGCACCTGTTCAACCTGTTGTTAAAATGCTCCTTACTGCTGTCCAGTTGTCCCATATATGGTTTTATGAACAAGGGCTGCAAGAGGTAAACTGGGTCTCCCAGGGTCACTGTGAGCATTTCCATATCCCCCCACTGTAATCTTGTGGTCTGGAAAGAAAGTCCCTGCCCGCAGCATTCTGTATATACCAATGTTCCTAAAGACGTGTGTGTGTCCTGTACCTTTCCAATGCACCCTGCACTGATGCCTGTGAAATGCCCACAGTGATCCACATGTGCCTACAGCTCTACCGAGAAGTATTTCTTCCTGTTGATATACTCAGTGGCAAGTTGGACCAGTGCTAAAAATCAGAAAATAAGTGCCATCTATTGTCCTCCCCCAGCTGGGAAATCCCATTTCTGCAAAGCCAGCTGTTTCATCGAGCACATTGTCCAGAATCACAGCCCTCCTCAGCAGAATGCAATATGTTGGCCTGCAGTAATACAGCCCCAACAGTAGACTCCTCCACACCAAAGTGATTTGCGACAGACTGGTAGCAATCTTGTGTTGCCAGCTTCCACGCAGCAGTTGCCACGCACTTCTCAACCGAGAGGGCAGCTCTCATTCGGATGTCCTCGCATCGTGGGTCAGGGGCCAGCTCAGCACACAGTGCCAGCAAGGTTGCTTTTTGCAGCCTAAACTTCTGCACCCACTGCCTTTCATCCCACACCTGCATGACGATGCAATCCTACCAATCAGTGCTGGTTTCCTTGTTCCAAAAGTTCTGCTCTACCCTATACGGCGGCTTTGTGAATGCCAAATGCAATGACAGGTTGCAGCTATCCCATATCACACACACTGTCAGGCTCCTCCAGGTCTTCTTCCTCTATCAGCAACTTCAAGATTATGTCATGTGTGATGTCCTTACAACAGAGCCTCACCTGCCGCCCATGGCAAAGGGGCTGAACTGGAGGGTGGGGGCTGGATGAAAGTCAGGGGGACTGAACTAGCAGAGGCTGGGGGGAGTTGGAGAGGCAGAATGGTGAGGACTTGGTAGGAATGGGGCAGAAATGGAGTGAGATGGGAGCTGGAATTGTGGAGGGTGAGGACAGAAGAGATGCAGATGGGGGAAGGACTGATTTGGAGATTACAGACTGAATGGCAAGGGTGGTAAATACCTTAAACTGAGGGCAAGTTCATTTGGAGACAATATGGTGGTATGCCTCAAAATAATTAAAGCTATCAGGATGTCTTGCAGCAGAGCATTGGCCTAGAGCTGAAAACCTCCATCATTCCTATTACCTTTTATGGTTCAAATTGCTTAGGAAATATCAACCAATGCTCAATCCTGTTCATGAACTGCATCTGCAAGTAACTATAGTTCGGCCACAAAATGTTCATGATACCAGTTTTTAATAATAAAATGATAGCAATTGATTGTAAATAATTCAAAGTGATTGTTAATAGCATTTTAAAAACAGCTTTCAAAACCCGTCTTTTGCTTCAGTCTGAAAACTGAAACTTAATCCCAACTGAATTTTCCTCCTCCTTTCCTTGATGAGCTACTGGAATATTTTTTTACTACCTTATAATGTTTGCATTGAAAAAAGAAAACACAAAGAAAGTGCATGGAATGCAATTTTTAAACAGATAAAAAAGGTAGATCAAACTTTGGTCCTATCAGTCTTAAAAAATGTTCATAAAGTCATCTGTTGTGATAATACCTATTTAGTGTTTAAATGGAGGAAAATAAATCTCTTACCGTGCCATAGCTTTCCATACATATGAATTATGTGTGACATCATGAGCTTTCCATTATCCCATAATTTACTGGAAAAATCATCCTCTAGGCCATTCATTCTCTTGTAAATGTGAAGGCAAAGATTACAAAAAAGGCAAACGATGAACCAAGGTAAAAGAGGTGAAAAAAGTATGGTGACTGTCACCCCCAAGAAAGTGCCCATATAATCTGGATAGTGGTAATCCTGACCAATCCAGTCTTTTAATATGTAAATCAGCCATGTTGAGTTGGTCACAGATTCCCACCCTGACGTATAGAATTCACTTTTATTGGTCATCTTCTGTTTCAAGAAGAGGTAGGAAACTGAGTCAAGTTCTCTTCGTAGTCAAAGCAGCTTCTTAATTTTGCCCCTAGAAAGATAGAACACACTGTGTCATTTATTACTACTGCTACAAAGAAGTTTCACACATGCCTTCTCTGTATGCAATTAATTATATTGCATCAGTGCCCTTTTGCTGTGTTGCTCCTAAGCAGCTGTTGCTGCTTTGAGGAGAGGTGACAATTCATAGTAGAGAAAGTACTCCCAGGGCAACGTTGCACTCACAAGGTGTTGCTACAAACAAGCATCTCCTCTACACTATTGTTCTCATATGAAATAGGGCTGACATATGGTTATGGATGCAAACACAACTGTTGTTAAACACACTGCAGTAGTGCCAAAAAGAACATCAACAGAAGAGGAGACTGACAGCAACAGAGGAATCCCTGACCAGTGATGGACTGAAGTGTCATGAAAGACCTGTGCAAAGAGATAAAGAGCAGCACTGATGGAGATTATTCAGAGAGTGAAAACTGAAATTGATAGATCAGAGAAGAAAGGATTTATTCAGAACGAAGGTTAATGAGTGGTCATCTTGGTGAGTGAAGAAGCTTTCTAGGGCTGAAGATCAACTGCAGAGGGAAGGATGAGGAAAAGAGGCTGAAGCAACTAATGAGTCAGAAGAGACGTCAACATGGGAGATAAAACCAAAGAATGTGAAAGAGCAGGATTGTGAGTAAAGGCAAACTAGGAATCATAGAGGAACATGGAATGGTCAAGGTAACAATATAAGGAAGGAACTTGCTCCTTCCTGGATGATCATCTCCCCACTTGCTTTGTTCCCTTCTACCAGAAGCCATTATGAAACCATAATTATAGTGCCTGGCCCTGCTGTAATGAAATAAATAATAAATAGTGGTCATCTTTGAGTCTTGCTTCACATACTAACTTACAGGAGTGTGTATTTGTTGTAAATATATACATAATATTTCTATCTTTCTGCTGCATCAGAAAGATAGAAAATATGGCAAAAGACTGCCTTGGCTTAACCATGAGATCTTGCATGATCTAAAAATAAAAAAGGAGTCATATAAAAAATGGAAACTAGGACAAATTACAAAGGATGAATATAGGCAAACAACACAGGAATGCAGGGGCAAGATTGGAAAGGCAAAGGCACAAAATGAGATCAAACTTGTTACGGAAATAAAGGGAAACAAGAAAACTTTTTATAAATACATTAGAAGCAAGAGGAAGACCAAGGGCAGGGTAGGCCCACTGGTCAGTGACGAGGGAGAAACAGTAACAGGAAACTTGGAAATGGCAGAGATGCTTAATGACTTATTTGTTTCGGTCTTCACCAAGAAGTCTGAAGGAATGCCTAACATAGTGAATGCTAGTGGGAAGGGGGTAGGTTTAGAAGATAAAATAAAAAAGGAACAAGTTAAAAAGCACCTAGAAAAGTTAGTTGCCTGCAAGTCACCAGGGCCTGATGAAATGTATCCTAGAATACTCAAAGAGCTGGTAGAGGATGTATCTGAGCCTCTAGCTATCATCTTTGGAAAATCATGGGAGACAAGAGAGATTCCGGAAGACCTAGACTTTAGTAAGGCATTTGATATGGTCTCGCATGATATTCTTATCAATAAACTAGGCAAATACACCTTAGATGGGGCTACTATAAAGTGGGTGCATAACTGGCTGGATAACCATACTCAGAGAGTAGTTATTAATGGTTCACAATCGTGCTGGAAAGGTATAACAAGTGGGGTTTCGCAGGGGTCTGTTTTGGGACTGACTCTGTTCAATATCTTCATCAACGATTTAGATATTGGTATAGAAAGTCCGCTTATTAAGTTTTCAGATGATATCAAGCTGGGAGGGGTTGCGACTAATCTGCAGGATAGGGTTGTCATGGTTCCTTCCCCACTCTGGCATGATAAATGCAGAAATCCAATTAACACCAGTACAATGTAGGTCTCCTTGTTCCCCATAATGTAGGCCTCATTCCACGAGGAGTACAGCTAGTTCGGATTAGAAGCCTAATCCGAACTAGCTACTCCGTGCTGCGTGTAGCCGCGCGGCACGGGGTTCGAACTAGCCGGAATTTAAAAATGGCGGCGCCCGGCTTATGCAAATGAAGCCCGGGAAATTCAAATCCCGGGCTTCATTTGCAAGTGCGGTATGCCTACATTACCCTCCCAGTTCGAATTAGGAGGGTAGTGTAGACATACCCAGAGAAACTTTTATCTTGCTCCCAGGACAGATTAGTCACAGACAACTTCCCAGAGCTACCCTCACCCCATTCACAAACCTCATACATGTCCTGAGTCTGGATTAAGGTATCAGCCTGATTACACATATTAGCCATGCTATAATCACACCCTATCCCCATACGGTTGTACACCGAACTCCTGGGAGGATACAGTCTCTGTGGTTCTTCCATTCGTCTGGTCTCTGCCTTTATTTCTGCTTGTCTGGCCTGGTGTTCTTGTTCCTTGAGCTCCTTCTCAGCTTCTATTGCTGCTAGCTTAGCCCGATGTTGTGCGCGCTTCACCTCTGTTTCTGCTTTTATTGCTGCTAGTTTGGCCTGGTGTTCTTGTTCCTCACGCTCAGTTTGTGCTCGCCTCGCCTCTATCCGTAGGATAAGCTCAACCTCTTTCTGAGTTAGAGGTCTGCCAGCTGCCTTACAGTCAGCTTCCCATAGAGAAGGCAGAGGTGAGGGAGGAGCAGCACCGCTGTACATTGCTCCTGCCCTCTCCTTGGGGTATGAATCTGTCCTAGAGCTGGACATTCTGCCTTAACTACCCTAGCTATCCAGTTGTCCCAAAATCTATAAAAAAAACAAAACTGTTTGGGATGGTCTGTGTCTGGCTTAAGCTTCTGTTTGCCTCTCCCCGAGGCTCCACAGAAACAAATGAAAGAAAAAAAAAGAGGAAACCCTGCAAGGCTTGCAACTCAAAGAAAAACCTGTGTCCTTTTAAAAATCCTGAGGTCTCAAAATAATCCCACTGCTGCCACAATGTCATGGCTCCTTCCCCACTCCGGCATGATAAATCCAAAAGTGGGGGCCAGCAAGTGTACCCCAAGCCTTATCTACCAGGCTTTGGTATAAAACTTCCCCCAAAATCTAAAAAACCTAGATTTTGGGAATAAAACTTCCACTGCCACCACCCAAATATTAATAACGAGATTAGGGGAAAGAACATTTGGGAAATCTCACACCTATTATAAAAATCAGGACACACAAGTAACCAATGCCAGGTTAATAAAAAGAAAAGAGAAAACTTTTATTATTACAACAATATTCCTGTTGCAAGAATAAGGATCAGATGGAAAGGTAACAAAATATACTCATGGAGGAATTACACCATGAGCTAGAACTTAGTTAAAAAGAAAAGCCAAACACCTCTTAAGCAGTGCCAGATATCAGATCCCATACTCAACCCTTAAAACAATAAAGCCTAATGAAACTACCTAAACTTTACCCAACTTAAAGAAAGTGAAGATTTGTTTCTTGGAGAGAGAGAGAGAGAGACATGCTTGTCCCTTTCTGTAGCTGCAGAGGACTCACCCAGAGACAAAAGGAGAAAGGAAAAAACCCAAATTCCTTTGTCCCAGTTTGAAAGTCCCACCTACATTCCTATTGGCCACTCCACCTGGCTAGGTGTAGTTAACCCCTTAATCCCCAGGCTGCTGGATAACCCTCATAATCATGACAAGGGTCATAATTCAAAATGATCTGGACACATTGGAGAAATGGTCTGAGGTAAACAGGATGAAGTTTAATAAAGACAAATGCAAAGTATTTCATTTAGGAAGGAACAATCAGTTTCACACATACAGAATGGGAAGCGACTGTCTGGGAAGGAGTATGGCAGAAAGGGATCTAGGGGTTATAGTGGACCACAAGTCGAATATGAGTCAGCAGTGTGATGCTGTTGCAAAGAAAGCAAACATGATTCTGGGATGCATTAACAGGTATGTTGTGACCAAGACATGAGAGGTCATTCTTCCGCTCTACTCTGTGCTGGTTAGGCCTCAATTGGAGTATTGTGTCCAGTTCTGGGTATCACATTTCAAGAAAGATGTGGAGAAATTAGAAAGGGTCCAGAGAAGAGAAACAAGAATGATTAAAGGTCTAGAGAACATGACCTAGGAAGGAAGACTGAAAGAATTGGGTTTGTTTAGTTTAGAAAAGAGAAGATTGAGGGGGGCCATGATAGCAGTTTTCAGGTATCTAAAAGGGTATCATAAGGAGGAGGGAGAAAACTTGTTCATCTTGGCCTCTGAGGATAGAACAAGAAGCAATGGGCTTAAACTGCAGCAAGAGAGGTTTAGGCTGGACATTAGGAAAAAGTTCCTAACTGTCAGGGTAGTCAAACACTGGAATAAATTGCCCAGGGAGGTTTTGGAATCCCCATCTGTGGAGATATCTAAAAGTAGGTTAGATAAATGTCTACCAGGGATGGTCTAGACAGTATTTGGTCCTGCCATGAGAGCAGAGGACTGGACTCAATGACCTCTCGAGGTCCCTTCCAGTTCTAGTATTCTATGATTTTATGATTCTATGATTAACCTCACAAGTATTGTGAGGACTGATTAGCAAATTTTTTCAAAAAACTTTGATATAAAGTTCTATTTAAAAATCATGCTCCATAATAGTAATTATAAGACTAAAAGGAGAATAATTTTCCAACTACTTTGCGCTCCTTCTTCTGTTAGCAAAATTCAAAACATTGATAACAAACAAGAATAGGACAGATAACAAGGTGGCATAGAGTTCATTTGTGAGAATACATCTACAATTGTGGAGACAGATTAAAAGTGGCACTGGTAGCACCAAGGTTGCCTGATACTTCCCCTGATAAGACTCTGTGTTAGCTATTTATAGTTTTGCCAAACTTTAATTTTGTGATTTGAAATTTTCCATGCCAGAAGATACGGAACACTGGGAAAGGGATATATTGGAGAGGACAGGACAAAAAGAATCACGCCTAGGAGAATGGGAAGAAGAATCCATGTCCACTGGAGTGGAATCCAAGTTTTCTGAGTCCCACCATTCCTCTGCCTAATCTGTCGGCAAATATCTGTGAAACCCATTGACACGTGTCCCATTGTGCTCTGGTGCTGATCCAAATCGCAGAAGCTGGTTGTCATCTTCTATCAGTTACTTCATTAGCTCAAAATGGCAGAGGTCTGCATGGTGGATCTAAGAGTCTACATTTGTAGCTAGTGGAGTGAGTTCCAAATCACACAGGCATATTCACAAGAGCTCTCATCGAGAGAGCATGCTAAAAGAAGGAGTATAGCCAAAGCAGGGGGGAGAGGTGAACAGGACAGGACGTTAATGGGAAAGCCTTGTTCTGTAGGTAAGTGACTGGGGCATCCCAGGGGAAGAAAAGCTACACTTTGGGTGAAGGAATGACTGGGGCACAAAAGGGAGGGACTGCCATACTCCAGGGGTGGGGGATAGTGACAGAAGCAGGACAGGGGAGGGAGGGTTATCTCAAGCCCCACAGCTTGGGCTATGAGTGGCACAGGGAAGAGTCATGTGCCACATGGCGGAGCGGTCATGTGGCCAGTGCCCCCTTTGTGTCCATCCCCATAGTCACCAGTGCAACTACCGTACCACTGATCCTACCTGACCTCCTGGATTCTCCTTACACTGTACTGCTGTGACCAGTCTGCCAACACCTCCTTCAGGCTTCAGACTGCACTTTACCAGCACACATATGGAACACAAACAGCACCCACCACCTGCAGCTTCACCCTGATGCTTAGATCAGCTCTGCAAACAAGGCTCAGCTAAGGAACTGCTAAGTATGAACACATCTTTTGGGGGGAAGGGGCATAAATGCAAACACCCTTCGGGGGGGGGGGTAAACCCCAAATGATACTGTCTTGTGGTGAACTGTACAATGTAAGCTCATGAAATTTGCCCCCCCCATTTGAAGAAGACTATACACAGCTTTCTGCCCCACGTTATAACTTCTACACACACTAGTTTAAAACAAAACAAGTTTATTTATGACAAACGATAAGATGTTGAGTGATTTTAAGGGATAACAAACAGATCAAAGCAGATTACCTAGCAAATAAAACAAAAACACAATCTAAGCTTAATATACTAAAGAAATTAGAGATGAGTAGCAAATTCTCACCATAAATGTTGTTTTAGGCAGTTTGCGGAGATTTTAGTGGGGAAGATGCACTTGCTTGCCACATAAAATCCCAGGTGTTCCTTTCACAGGCTATAAATTCCTCAAGCATGGGTTCAGTTCTTCTCTGTGCAGTCTAGTCCTTGTTCTTCAGATGTTTATACCAGTCATCTTGGGCGGGGAATCAGTGAAGAACAAATCATGATGATGTCATTTCCCTGCCTTCAGTTGCTTTCGTATATGGCAGGAATCCATTGTCTTCCAGTTCAGATGCCTTTCAGTGGAGAAACACTGCTATTCCATAACAGAGTCCAGTACCAGGTGACTTGGGCGCATGTCCCTGTAGGGCCATAGCAGTTATGACTGAGAAGCTGTCCATAAGGACCTCAGGAAAGCTCCCCCATTAGGAAATTAGCATCTTTTAAGACCTTTAGTTCTCCTTAATGACCCTTCACACTCAGACATCCAGACAGACTGCATTCTATCTAGTGGGCGTTCCCCAGGTATAAACACATTTCTAATAGACGCATAGACCATATTCCTAATGTCAGATACAAAAATGATTCATGCACACAAATAGGATAATCATATTCAGGAAACCCTAACCTTTTCAATTATCTCACATGACTTATAAAAAATGCATCACAATTACATCATTATCATACCATCTCTATGAAGAATATGGGAGTGTAGTGTAGCAAGCGCATCTGCGCAAGCTGGGAATCAGATCTCTAGCTCCAAGGGGCAACGTAACCTGTAGATTTCAACCTGCTGATGACTCATGCAGGTGTCCGTATGAGGCCACATGATGCAATATCGGGATTTTTTCAGTTTTTGTTTTTTAAAACCAAGAAAATCACAAACAAACATGCATACGCCTCTGAATACACATAAATTAAAAGAACATTATTAAAGCTATAAAGTCATTCACTCAAAAGTATGGAAATTCCAGAATTAAGATTGCTTTTGCAACCTTCATTCAGCCTATTTGTGCATATTCCTTATGGTACAGTAATTAGTTACATGATCACATACTCTTTTTTTCCCCCCACAAGTCCCTTGCCTCATTCAGTGCCTAGTACAGAGCTGTTCTGGGATGAATTCAGGTATCCCAAACTGACAACCCAAAATTAGTGAAATGTTTTACCTTAATCTCTCTGGGCTCAGTTCCCCATCTTTAGAATGGGGATAATACTGTGCTGTCACAGAGATTTTGTGAAAATTAACATTTGTGAAGCACTCATTTACTGTAGTGTTAAACCCATGAAGAAAGTAATCATTCTATCTTCAGAGTCGTGTTTGAAAAGTGTGCTGTAAATAAAGTATGGGGCAATATACTGAACAATGAAAATAAAACAAAATAATGAGCAGCTGCTCATTAAATGGGAATCATTCATCCTCTCCACTAAACAAGATGAGGGTCCTAAGAAAACGTATTTAAAGACTGTATTAAAATGCATAGACACAAGGGGGCCAAACTAAGTTTTTACAAAGAACCTTAATTCTAGCATTTCCTAACTTTTGCCAGCTTGACTTTGCATCTTCAATAATGTTCTTTTAAGTTAACATTAAACACTTTTCTCTCTTTTTAAAAAAAGTTTTACAATTGAATGCACTGCAAAACCTTAGAAAATTTAAGAAGGGAGGAGAGGGAAAAAGAAGAGACTCAAGAATTCAAAGGATTGTGTTACACAAGTCTTCAGTTTATGTTTAATATTTTGTTCTGAGTAGTTTCATTGACTTCAGACTCTGTGTGCTATTGTGGCAAAACCATTAAAATAGAGTAAATGCAAGATTAATTAAGAATTTGGTATTTTGGGTCAATTATCTTTTAATAGTCTCATCAGATGAAATATTTCCAAAATTAAGACTAGAGAAAAGCTAAGAGTCAATGCTCAGATGCTTCTACAAATGCTGAGACTAATGATGAAAAGATAAATAAGCCAAATAAACCACCACCAACTGATATAAAACTGCAACTGCTACAACTCTTAATTTGGAATCCTGCCTTTATACCTAACAAATATCCTTAAATGGACAGTATCAAAATTAAAACAATTTTTAAATGAGTTGAAATAATTTCAGCTCTTACATGTGCAACATATCAGGATTTACAATTTACGATCACAGCTTACCATTATATTTTTCTCTCTCACCTCTTGCTCAGTATAAAACAAGGAAACCTGAGTAACTGATGAAACTCTACACACCCAGTCCAATCTCAGAAAGGAACATAGGAACTGTTGCATCTGGTCCAGAGTTTTGTTTTTCCAACTCTAACCAACTACAATATGCTTCAAGGAAGTGCAAGAAACTCTGATTTGGGCATTTATGGAATAACCTGCTCCTATTCTATTCTGTTCTTACTCTACAAGAAACACCCAACATTCTGGTAACCTCATACCTGTGAAAGGAAGGTATTGAGGCCTACCCAGAATATGTCAAATGAGCACCAGTTTAATTGCAAGTGGAAGGGAAAGGCAGCACTCTCAGATACAGGAGATAAAAATAAAAACAAAATTTGATTGGTTGACCAACAATAACCCCGCTTTTAGGGAAGTAAGTAACTCAGACAGCAGTATGCAACAAAGTGCTGATTACCCCAAATGGAGCAGACGAAAGTTTTTTGTAAGGGCAGAATGAGACAACAAAAATCTAACGTCAGCAATTGTCAGGCAAGTGGAGGAGTACCAAAATACCGAAACAGGGTATATAAGGTGGGCTGAAACAGACCACGAGCGGACGGGTTGCGAATCCGAAAAGCCAGGTCTGATCAACCAGGGCTCCCTCCCCGGCGCTGAATCTCGCTGCCGTACATAAGCTCCGAAAGGGGAACGAATACCGGTTGTAAGTTGCAACGAAAAATCCAAAGAAAGGAAAAACATAAAGAAAAGAATATCTCCTGAATCTAAGCAATGCTTCTATCTTTCTTAACGTGAGTATTATATAACTGTTAACTCCATAAATTTTTTAAAGGTAACTCAGGAGGGTATATCAGTAGGAGAAGTTATTATTTCTTGTTATTTTTAACTGTACTGTTTTTCTACTTTTTCTTTGTATATTATATTGTCTTAAAAGAATCAAAAATAGTGAATTGATTTAAATGGAAAATTGATTATAAAGTAAATAGAAAAAATAAATAATCTTTGTTTGACCCTAAAAAGAAGTATTCCTCTCTCTGTGGTTTCAAATCCTTTAAAGAACCAAACCCGGTTACCGAAAATACCCAACAACTGAAAGTTAATCAATAGGTCTAAAGAATAAGAGTTGATCACTTACATTTTTCTTAAGTATAGCCTAAATTTACTGCAGATGTTTTCTGAACCCATATGCCTAAATAACATTTTTAAAACTGCTAAACAGTTGGCCTCAGGTATATAGGATGGTAGAGAGTTTCCATGTACTAATTACGCATTAGGATAAAGATTCTTTTGTTCGTGTTAAACGTGAATCTTTTAATTTCCATGAAAAATCCCATTGTTCCCTATGAAAGGATAGAGTTGAGTAGTCACCACATGGTGCCAGCCTCACCCCAAGGGCTAAGATTCCCGCTCACACTCTTGCACAGCACGCACCCCCAGTCCTGCCTCCCAGTCCCGTCCCTGTACTCACCTGGCTCTGGCTCGGCTCCTCCGTGGGCTGCTGCCAAGTAGGCTGGGTTGGTCTGGGCCAGGTTAGCAGGGCAGGAGGAGGTGGCACCCAGGCAGAAGGGCTAGTGTGGAAATTGTTCCGAGGCACAAGCAGGAGCCCGCCCCCATCCTGGCCCAGCCCTGAAGCCTTGGGAGTGAGCAATGCGTCTCCCCTCCCCACAGCGTGAACTGAGAAAGGAAGTGAATTGAGAAAAGGGCTGGAGCTGCCTGGAGCCCCCAGTCCTCTACCCCTCCCATGAACTGGGAAAGAGCCTCAGTTGCTTACACCGCCTGTGCCCCGTTACACCCATTGACCTCCTCTTTGAACTGGGAAAGAGGCCTTGAGCTCCCTTACACCCATTATCCTCCCTCCCACTCTCCTGCACCTGGAAAGAGACCATGCTCCATTCCTCATATCCCCTCTGCTACCTACCCTGTACATCAGCCCTGAAAATGGCTTTCCCCGGCTCAGGAGTCTACATAACTCTATCATGCTTGTCACTTTTTAGAAGATTTAGGCATCATGTAATTGACTTGAAAATAATGGGAGTTTAAACACTGAGGCTGTGTCTACATTGGTACCCTTTTCCGGAAATGCTTAAAACGGAACAGTTTTCTGTTATAAGTATTTCCGGGAAAAGCGCGTCTACATTGGCAGGATGCTTTTCCGGAAAAGCACTTTTTCCGGGAAAGCGTCCGTGCCAATGTAGACGTACTTTTCCGCAAAAAAGCCCCGATCGTCATTTTCATGATCGGGGCTTTTTTGCGGAAAAAATAACTGGGCTGTCTACACTGGCCCTTTTCTGGAACAGTTTTTCCGGAAAAGGACTTTTGCCCGAATGGGAGCAGCATAATTTTTCCAGAAAAACAATGACAATTTTACATTAGATCATCATTGCTTATCCGTAAAAGCAAGCGGCCAGTGTAGACAGCTTTCAAGTTATTCCAGAAAAGCGGCTAAGGGTCTTGGGGGCTTTTTATTTACCTCTTGGTGTTTGAGATTTCAAGGTATGCCTGGGTCAGATTTTTAAGTTTTTCTCTGCAATCCTATGGGTCAGAGACTCTTTTTTGCTACAAAACCTAATACTGGGAAACCCTATGTCTGTGATAGTAGCAGAAGGCATACAAATGGGAAAAATAGCTAAGCCCCCTAATTTACAGGGGCAGCCCTAGACTAGCTGCCAGCAACTGGCGCCCTAGGTGAACCATGCAATCGGCGCCCCCACCTCCAAACCCCTCAATGATATTACATCACCATTTGGCTCTCCATTTAACTTGGCACTCTAGGTGATCGCCTAGTTCGCCTATATGGACAGGCCGCTCCTGCCCCTAAACTTTCCTTCTCTCCCCTCCAAGAACTGAGAAAGGGACCTCAGCCCCTTACACCCACAACACACATCACCACCAGCAGCCTCTGAACCAGGAAAGATGGCTCAGCCTGTTGGCACTTTGGCCAGGGGTCTATAAAAAGTTAAAGCTATTCTTAGGGACTATTTTCATATAAGCCTACACTTACCAGCATCACATATAGGCATAGCAAGAAAGTAAAAGCCAACATATCTTGCTTGTATTAAGCATTCATTGCTAATAGAATGGAAATGTGTGACCTATTTTCATAATCTATTTGAATCTTAATAACTGATTATGACACTAACTAGATGGCCCATTATAAAACCAGTCTTCCTTACATTTAACACATAACTGACATCTAAATCTAATTATGGAACACTCCCAGCCCCCTCAGTTAGCCTCATTAGCACCTGCACTACTATTGACAGATACATTTTTTTCTTTCCTCTTCTTTCTTTTTCCGTTATAATTCTCATAGTCCCCTTTTTTTCCCTCTCAAGCTTATCTGAAGAAATGGGTTTTGCCCTCAAAAGCTCATGATACCTTATATATTTTTAAAAGCTTCAGAGGGGTAGCCAAGTTAGTCTGTAAGTGGGAAAACTTAAAAAACAACTAATAGTTTAACACACTGGTCCCCAACCATTTGGAGCTGCCAGACGCCAAGGGGCGGGGCCATTTGCCCGCCAGGCGCCAGAGGGTGGGGACACTCGCGTGCCCGAGGGCGGGGCCGTGCACACACCACATCCCCATGAGCCATGTGCCTGGGGCCAGCAACCCCATGCGCCACGTGGCCACGGGCAGGGCCGCCCATTCGCCGCAAGCCTGGGGCCGGCGCCCTCCAGAGCCACGTGCCCAGGGCCGGCACCCCCCCATAGCTGCGCACCTAGAGCCAGCACCCCCCCAAGCCTGGGGCCGGCGCCCTCCAGAGCCACGTGCCCAGGGCCGGCACCCCCCCATAGCTGCGCACCCAGAGCCGGCACCCTCCATAGCTGTGCGCCATGGGGCAGAGAGGCCAATTCGCTGCGTGCCCGGAGCCTGTGCCCCCAATAGCCGCATGCCCGGGGCCGGCTCTCCCCATGCACCGTGCACCCGGGGCGCAGGCAGCCAATTTGCCGTGCGCCCGGGGCTGGCGCCGTGTATGTGCAGCAC